TCAGACCCTCCAGCAGTCCACAGGAGAGAGACGAGGCTGTCTGCACCAGAAAGATTTATGGCCTCAGAAACTCAAATGGAATCGTACTGTTTTGCCTGCTGGAGTCAGCATGACCAGGTAGCAGTGGGTTTGGGTTTGGGAATAGCTAAATGATTAGACAGAGACTCACTAACAACCTTCGATATGCAGATGATACAACCTTGCTTGCTGAAAGTGAAGAGGACTTCAAACATTTACTGAAGATCAAAGAGCACAGCCTTTGGTATGGATTACATCTCAATGTCAAGAAAACAAAAATCCTCACCACTGGACCAATAAATAACATTCTTATCAATGGAGAAAAGATTGACGTTGTCAACACTCGTGGAAGCAGCAGTCAAGAAATCAGATGACACATTGCATTAGGCAAATCTGCTGCACAGGAACTTTTTAAAGTGTTGAAGAGCAAAGATGTCAGCTTGAGTACTAAGGTGTGCCTGACCCAAGCCATGGTATTTTCAGTAACCTCATATGCATGCGAAAGCTGGACAGTGAATAAGGAAGATTGTAGAATTGATGCTTTTGAGTTATGGTGTTGGAGGAGAATATTGAAAGTGCCATGGGCTGCCAGAAAAACCAACAGATCCATTTTGGAAGAAGTGCAGTCAGAGTGCTCCTTGGAGGTCCAGGATGGCCAAACTTTGTCTCTCATACTTCAGACATATTGTCAGGAGGGACCAGTCGCTGGAGAAAGATATCATGTTTGGTAAGGTGGGGGTCAGAGAAAAAGAGGAAGACCCACCCACCCCCAGCCCAGCAAGATGCATTGGCCAAGTGGCAGCATCGATGGACTCAAGCATGGCAACAGTAGTGAGGTTGGCCCAGGATCGGGCAGTGTTTCGTTCTGCTGTGCATAAGGTCGCTATGGGTCGGTACCGACTCGATGGCACCTAACAGCAACAAATGATGCTGAACATCAGTTTATGTACTTAGCTGCCATCTTGTATATCCTCTTTGGTGAAATTTTTTTTCATTTCTTTTGCCCTAATGTAGGCTAAGCATTGGACTGCTTACTGCAAGGTCGGTGGTTCAAACCCACCGGCCACTCTTCAGACACCCTATAAAGGGTGATAATGAGTCGGACCCGACTCTACAGCACTTAACAACAACATTTTCTAGCTGGATTATTTGCTTTTTTTCCTGTTGGGTATGGAGAATTCTTTATGTATCCTACACACTAGTGCTTTGTCAGATACATGGTTTCCAAATATTTTCTCCCAGTCAGTAGCTTTTCTTTTCACCCTTTAACAGGGTGTTTCACAGAGTACACACTTTTTATTTTGATAAGGTCCAATTAAACAACTGTCTCCCTTTAAGAATGACACTTAGAACCACATCTAAGAACTCGTACGTAACCTCAGACCCAATGAATCGTTACTGTATGTTTACAGGGTTTATGTTTCACATTTAAGTCTCTAAAGATTTTAGAGTTTTACGTTTGCCAATAAAGGATTTTTATGGTTTTATGTTTTCCGTGTAAGTCTCTACAGATTTTTGTCTTGTTTTCTCTTTGACTTTTATGTCTCTGGCGCAGTTTGCAGTAACTTCTGTCGAAAGTGAAAGGTTTGGTTTTCGCTGGAACTAAGAAGATTCAAAAGAGGACACGGAACAAGGGGTGTCAACGCTGACGTACGATGGATCTTGACTGAAAACCAGAGAATACAACAAACATGTCTATCTGTGTATTATTCACATTTGACTGTGTGGACCACAAATTATGGACAACATTGCAAAGAATGGGTATTCCAGAACACTTAATTGTGCTCGTGAGGAACCTGTACATAGACCAAGAGGCAGTCGTTTGAACAGGGTAAGGGGATACTGAGTGGCTTAAAATCTGGAAAGCTGTGTACCAGGATTGTATTCTTTCACTGTGCTTACTCAATCTGGATGCTGAACAAACAATCTGAGAGTTGGATTCTATGAAGAAACACGTGGCATCAGGAAGGGAGGAAGACTCATTAACAACCTGCAACATACAGACTATACAACCTTGCTTGCTAGAACTGAAGACCTGAAACACTTGCTGATGAAGATCAAAGACCACAGCCTACATACAGTATGGGTTGCAAGCAACATCACAACAAATGGAGAAAAGTCGGAAGTTATCAAGGATTTCCTTTTACTTGGATCCACAATCAACTCGTGGAAACAGCAGTCAAATGATGCATTGCATTGGGTACGGTCCATCTGCTGCAAAAGATCTCTTAAAAGTGTTAAGAAGCAAAGATGCCACTGACCCAAGGATATTTTCAACTACCTTATGGGCATGTAAAGGCAGGATAAGGAAAACTGAAGAATGAGTGATGCCTGTGAACTCTAGTTGGTGAAGAGCAGTAAATGTACCAGGAACTGCTACCACAACAAACAAGTCTGTTCTTGGAAGAAGGACAGCCTAGAATGCGCATTAGAAGCTAGGATGGGAATACTTTGTCTCTGGTACTTTGGCCATGTTGTCAGACGGGACTGGCCCCTGGAGAAGGACGTGCTGTTGGGTTAAGTGGAGGGTCATTGCTAAAGAGGAAGACCCTCTCTGAGATGGGTGCACTCAGTGGCTGCAACAACAGGTTCACACATAACGATGAGGCTGGGGCAGCACTGGGCGGCGTCTCCTTCCGCTGTACACGCACGCGGGCCCTCTGAGTCAGAAGTGACGTGATGGCACCTAACAACCACAGTTGTCACAAGTGTGACTACGATGTGTATTGGCATGGATTTCTTAGGGTTCGAGCTGTTTTCGGTTATTCGGCTTGTTGAAACCGTAGGTTTATGCTTCTTGCAAATTGGGGGCGTTCTAGCCATTTCTCCTTCAGACGCTTTTCCAGCTCTGTCATCGTCCTTCCAGGACATAAACATTTGCTTTCCTGATATATCCCCAGGTCCCTGGGCTCCCCCACCCCCAGTATGTTTCCCTCTGTTCTTCACTTCATGAGATTCCTATCCTTCTGTCCTCCAGCTCATGGACTGTTGTTGTCACCTTGGTGCCCCCACTCTGCTGCTGCCCCCTCACTGGCCTCCCAGCTGCTCCTGTCCCTGTTACTGCACTTCTCTAAACGTCTCCGGGGGTTTTCTTCTATATCTCTGCTGAGACTTGCCAGGTCTGCGTTGAGACTTTATATTGTTTGCTTTAGGCATGTCTGTGCTTGCTCACTAATGCATTATTGGTGGGTTTGAATTGCCCACCGTGTGGTTAGCAGTCAAATGCTTACCCTAGAGCGACATGCCAGGACTTCATTATTGCCATGGCTGCTTTAAAATTGTGTCTGATAAATCCATCACCTTTGTCACCTATGGTTGGCACCTGTTGACTGTTCACTTCATTTGCCGTGTTCTTGGTTCCTGGTATGAGACGTGGTTTCCGATGAAAACACTTACTGAAACCTTCAGTTTTCGCTTAGCCACCTGATTACACCGGCTCCTTGTCGAGTCCCTTGTTAGCCAGCATTTCACATTCACGGCACAGTAACAAAAATCTGTTCTCCGACTATTCTGCGTGTTAACGACATACATCTGACAGTATGGAACTCCAAGGTGAGGCGGGAGTAACGCTGGCTGTATGGTTGGGGTTATGTGTCAGCTGGGCTGCACCGTGATTCTCAATGGGTTGGCAGCTACGGAATGACTTGGCTGCCTCTGATACCACACTAGGGTGGTAGTCTAGGTTCCACATTCAGCCTTTGCTGTCATGGGTGGGGACAGGGATGCAGCTTTTAGGGCGGAGTCTGGCAGCAGTTACTACCAGCTTTTGGTTCTGCTAAGCTGCCCCTTTCCTGATCCTTTGGCAAGAAAGCAGGCTTCTGTCCTGTATTCGTAGCATCGCCAGGTCACTTGCTTCTCCAGCTTCAAGACCACGATACTGAGGCGAGAAGAAAGCCTAAGGCCCTTATCACACCTTCAGGTCCCAAGGCCACGAGCCAGTCTTCCTAAACATCAGCTGTTGCGCTTTTCAACTCGAAATTGGCTGTCTCCCCCGAATCTGGTGTATCACTTTAGGCGGCTACTGTTAGGTTCTGTGTCTCCACTTTCTTTCTCTGGGTATGGTAGTCGGGGCTGCACAGCCCTGGTCTGAGAACTCGCTGTTCATCTGCTGCTGGTGCCTCGTGGCTCTGCTGGATTTGGCTTGGGTTACCTTTGATTGTGTGGTGATTGTGTGGTGGACGCTGTACTTGAAGATGACTTGTAGCAGTCACCTGAGGCCAGTGCTACCTGCTAGACAGCGACACAAGGTGGCAAACAGTGTGAGGGCAGGCCCGGGTCCAGTTCCCCCTCACTCTCAGTCCGAAGCAAGCCCCAGCCACATCAGCAGGCCCCAGACACCACCTTGTGAACTCCCTGCCCTCTGCGGCCAATAGCCTCTCAGCCACATCTTCCAGAAGCAGCAGCACCCCTGGACTGAACTGGCTAAGGTCTCCCATCCCTCTGGGTTCTGAGCCTCTCCTGAGCACAGCTCTATCACACTGGCTCCTGACTGCTTTTTGGATTTGCTTGGTTTTGCTATTTTTAAAACGTCATCCAGTTTTCTTGACTGCTTAGTCTGCCTTTGGAAACATGATGTTGTCGAAGTTGGTTCTGACTCACAGAGACCCTGTGCAGGGTTTTCCAAGGAGTGGCTAGTAGTTGTGAACGGCTGACCTTTCAGTTATCAGTCCAGTGCTTACCCTGCAGTGTCACACCAGGACTCCATTATGAGACACAGGAAACCGGCGTAACAGAACTTGCAGCAAACAGCTAAACCCTAACAGCTGTCCCAGAGCAGCGATTGCCTCGGCTCCAAGCTGTCTCCCACAGCCGGGGAATAACCTAGCACCACAAGGGAGTGAGTCCAGTCTGCGGACAGACATCGTCCGTCCCAGGCAGTACTCAGTCCTGTGGGAGCAGAAAGGAGTGCCACAGTGGCCAGGGCCCTTACTCCCACGCATCCCACACCTGCGCGCCCCTCTCGGCCGACCGCGCGCCCTCACCTTCTCGTGAATCTCTTGTGTGGACTGGGCGTCACAAAATGCCACGGTGGCGACATCCTTCAGGATGGGCATCTCCACCGTGCAGTCCCGGCCGTCGAGCAGGGCCACCAGGGGCCGGGGGTGCAGGGGCCCATTCATGATCGGAGGTCGGACGCCTACAACGACAGGAGAGGACACTCAAGTTTCCTGCGGCAGTTCACAGCCCTGGCTAAAGCCTCACTACCCCCACTGCCTGCCGTCCTCCTGGGCAGATGAGCTGACCGACTGCCCACAGACATTCTGCTCAGATTGTCTGGTCACGTGGGTCTCTCATTCAGGGAGCCATGACTGACAGGGAAGATGGACCAGTGGGAGCACTACAGCTTCCTGTCACCCAAGAGAAGCAGACAAAGGGTGACTGCTGCCACCCCCAGGTGGCCCAGGGCTCTGACACAGAGCAAGGTGTCCACGCAAGCCACTGACAGGGCAGCCAGCCAAGGGGCTACGGCCCTGGCTCCGTCCTGGAGGCAGGCTTTTCACATGATTGGCGCTAGAAAGTGAGATTGTCACGTGACAGATGGGCTGTGGAAAAACGCCCGTTCCTTCCTTCTACCTCAAGCTACAGCACCGCTGCCCAAGTCCCCAATGGTGGCCAACCTTCCACATACCCGGCACAATTTGCATGTAGAGATTAGAAAGTGCAAGAGATGGTGAAAAGGCAGGAAAGGCTTAAAGTGCATTCGAAGGCAACACAATCTCCTAGGGCCCCACAGCAGGATGAGGAGGAATGAGGAAAACCACTTCTCCCACAGAGCACACGCTGGGCCTGTCCTTACCTGTCCTATGCAGCTAGACAGGTTCCAGCAGAGCTCCCACACTAATAAAGACTAGGTAGAAAGGCATTACCTTCCAGGCATCAGCCACTGAAAACCCTCCGGCACACACCACTTGTGGGGACGGCGCAGGACTAGCAGCGTTTCACGCTGTGGTTGGTGGGGATCTCTATGAGTCGGGGGCGAACAGCAGCTGGGGCTCCTTCACAGTCCCTCGTGGAAAATGGGGAATTCTGCAGGCCACGTGCTGTGTGCACCAGGACAGACTCATGACCTGCAGCTGGTGGGTGGCAGAGCTAAGACTGGAGCCCAGGCACAGAGGACAAGCGCTGAGGGCAGGGATGAAAAACCAAGGGCCTGGGCCACATGCCACCTCTCCAGCCACAGCTCCATCTTCTGCACCCTCACCTGGCCAGCAGTATGTCACAGGCTCAGGAATGTACAGTGAGGCCGGAAGAATGAGCCCCCCTCCCCCTTCAACAGCTGGTCTTTGGGGAAAAGTGGCTGCCTTTCTGAGCACTAACGGCAGAGACGCCCCTCTTGAAACCTCACTTCTCAGAAAAGCACAGCTGTGGCCACATGTGCGTCCATCAGGGCACAGTCACCACAGCCCTGCACTCTGGTGCAAGCCACATCCCAGCCGGCAGGAAGCTTTCTAAGACCCAAGGGAAGGGGGCCAGCCTCGAGGGCCATGCAAGCAGGGCCGTGGCAGGCCTCCAAGAGTGGCAGGAAGGCTGGGCCTGCCCCGGGGCTGCAAGGTCAAACCTGCAGCATGCCGGCTTCCTCTCGGGCGCCTCCCTGAGCCCACTAGGGTGAGTGCACACACGAGCTGACCGCAGACATGGAAGCCAGCTGTTGTCTAGTGAGCCAGACAGTCAGGAGGTGTACCAACATGCCACGCGGAGCCACGCGTTGCGCTGACTGCTGTGTGCAAAGCAGTGATTTTTCATTAAAGCACGTTCCTTATTTTAGCACGGAGTGCCTTTACAAACCTGGTGATTTTCAGTGACGTGATAAGTATGCCTTATAAGCCTACTGCCATCTTAATTTCTAAGGAGGTAACTAGCAATAAACATAACTCACACAGACAAGAGCTCTTTGGGGCCCCCAGCGATGCTTAAGAACAGAAAAGAGGGACTGAGAGAAATGGGTTGGAAACCATTACCCAGCACATGGGTCCGACGGCCTGGAGGGGAGAGCTGGCTCTGGGTTGGGCAGTCCAACAGGGAAGCTCTCCCACTAGACTTTAAAGACGAAACTGGCTCCCAGCCCCCGCGGCCTAGTCTCCTGCACCCCTTGAAGTTGCCCCAGGTGTCTGTCATGCCTGATAGGCTTGGAGCCACCTTCACAGTGCGCTCTGGTTCCCAGCAAGGCAACGTGCATCCTGACACCATGACCTGCGTGGGATCAGTGCCTGCCCCCCACAGCAGGGCTGTTTCTGCTCAGTGGACTCTCAGCGCCTGAGAGTAACCACAGAAGACGACGACAAGCACGGCCTGACCCCACCGGGATGACTGAGCAGCTGGCCATGGAGTTTGGAGTTTCCACCGCGGTCCCCAGGTACCCCCAGGGACCCATTGTTACTCGACTGGCCTGAGCCCAGCCCAGCACCTCTCTAGACCCAGGTGTCCTACATGACAGACATCTAATCAAGAGAAGGGACTTGAGAGCTGGGTCGAATCGGTGGACAGTGGACGGCCTGCCAGGCACCCAAGCTTCCTTTCCAGGAATGTCAGAGATGTTTCTCATGTACTCTACAAGTGTCATCAGGAGGGACCAGTCCCTGGGAGAAGGACGTCAGGCTTGGTAAAGTAGAGGGTCAGGCAACAAGAGGAAGCCCCTCAGTGAGGTGGACTGATACAGTGGCTGCAACAATGGACTCAAACGCTAACAACCACTGTGAGGATTACACGGGACTGGGCAGTGTGGAGGCCCAACCTTTCGGCGAGTGGTCCGGTGCTTGACTATGCCACCCAGGGTTTGGATTTTGTCGGAGAAACCAATGCACATGCTCCCTGAAGCAGCTCCCTCTTTCTGCATCTGCAACAAGACTGGTTTCAAAACAGCTGATTTCAAACGCCAGGAGCCCCAACCAACCTGACATTTCCTAAAATGCTCTCGGGTTCCGCGACCATGAATTCGACTTTCCAAAGCTTTATCTCTTCAGAATTCCCAGGCAGAATAGCGTCCTGTCACTGGATCCTTATTTCCAGGTCCTTAATTTTTCTCGAACCAAAGCTCTTAAGCTTCTGATCCGCTGCCACCAGTGACGCCTGGGTCGGGTTCAAACTTTGACTAAAAATCAAGCACAAGAAACACATTAGAAGACCATCGGGGGGGGGGGGGGGGTGCCCCAAGAAAATGCACACGCGCCAGTAAGTCCCAGGAAAACGAAGCTCATCCGGCCCCAGCTACGCACCAACTGAAGCTGCCTGGTCATGGACCTACCTGGAACATGGGGCCCTGCCAGAGTGTGTGGTGACCAGCAGGCACATGTCCAGGACCTTACCCTGGACCCCTAGTCCCAGGGCCCTAACACCACACACATGTAAATGCAAATGGTCCCTCTGGGCCACTGTTTGCCCTGCGAGACCGTGACCACCCTCAGGTCCCTGGCTGGCAGTTCAGCCCCACACGCCCAAACTGCACTAGTGAGCAAGAGGCCAAGGACAAGAGGTATGCAGCCAGCAACCACACAATGGCCCAGGACGATGCTGTGACCTGCCTGCTGTCAGCTCCAGGGGCTGCTATCTTACGTCACCAACATGCTACCAGGACCTGGCAGCTGGGAAGAGAGAGTGGACGCTCCAACGAGGCCACCCAGGGGAGAAGGCTGAGTCCACAGGCTTCTAGCGTCCAGTCCTTGGGTAAAGGGTGTGTAAACTAGCCAGTAAGATGCGTGCCCCTGCAGAGTTAGTCCATTTGGGGCCTGGTTGGGAGGGCCATGCCTTGAAATTGATAAGAAACTTGCTTATATATAGGGGAGCTTCAGAAAGTGCATGGACAAATAAAATTACATGATTGAATTTTCCCCACCAATTTCTCACTTGTATAAGCAGCCGACCTGATAGAGGCTTTGAAATAGCGAAGCAGTGGGGAGAAAGGGGGAACCTTCTAAAAGAGCTGTAGCTAGTAGCAGCAAGAGCATGACTAGCCAGGACCAAGGACCCGCAGATGGCCACAGTGCAAGAAGAGCTGAGAGTCTTCAGGCAGGAGGCTTGCTGGCTGCGGAGCCAAAGCCATAGTAACACTTGTCAGAGGAGGGCAGAGGCTAGAGGGGCGTGTCCAGAGGTGAGAGCTGTCCTGATTGACAACGCTGACCCCGCCTCCTGAGTTATTGGTCCTGATGCTCCATTGTAAACTGTTCCTTCTCTAATCCACCACAAAATCGTGAGTACAGTCTGCACATCCTCGGTGGCCACTGCCCAGCCCAGAAGGAGAGAGGAGGGCTTGTGAGGAGGAGCTTGTCTGAGGTCACCTCACAGGAACCTGCTCTGAGCTGATCGTAATTCTCATCCCTCTGCAGGGACGTAGACAACATCTGACGCTAGCTCCCACCCACGCACATGTGCACACGCACACACGTGGCACAGATACACCCAGCCCACCAACAGACAAGGAGTGTCCGTGACCAGCCCTGAGCACACCGGGTTCCCACTCTGCACGAGAATGCTGCCAGGCTGCCCAGAATGTGAACTTGCCTGTCAGTCCTAAAACCTGAAATGGGGGGCCTGCCCGCACCCCTCCCGCAGCACTCCAAACAGCCTGGCCCCAGTGCAGGTGTCTGCTAGGAAGAGGATGGGCAACGGAGGGGATGAAATGTACATCCGCTCCACACGGCCTGCCCTCACCTGACTGCACTCTCCCGGTCATGACAGCTGGTTCATGCTGAGGTTGCCCAGTGAGCACAAAAAGCAGCTCATTCCGCACAGCACAGGATGCCAGTGGGGGCCCAGGCCACGCTGTCTCCACAGCAACCAGGGGAGGCCATGCACAGGTAACACTGGCCACTTGAGTGGATGATACTATAGCTCCAACCTTCCAAGTCTGAGCATATACCGTTTGGGGACGATACCATCTCTGCAGCCTAGAGCCCGCAAGGTTCCAGCCTGGATGGATTCCCACTAAGCCCCCATCTTGAGACGCCTCCACAAAGCAAATGAGGCAGCCAGCAGAGAGCCCTAGCAGGCACCTCTGGGGATAGCAAGTGGTACAGGCAGCCCAAAGCCTGCCACAGTCCACAGGGTTAGAGGTCCCTAGTGGAATCCAAGCCTCCACCCTCAATAATTCCGCCCCCGCCTCCCACTTGTCTCTGCACTGCCCAGGTCTCATGGTCAGCTCAGTGTTGCTGGCTGGAACACAGAGGGACCAACTCTCCCATGAAGCCATCCACTACTGTGCACAGTACCAGGGCAGCAAAGAGGCAGAGGCCCAGCTCTCTCAGCAGAGGGCGCTGGGAGGACATGCTGGAGGAAGACTTCCGCATGGTCCCTTTGTCCTTGAGTGGCCTGGTGACCACTAGTCTGCAAGCTCTCCACTAGGACTCCATGGGAATCCAGAGTGCAGTCCAGGGAGGGTGCTCCCCAAGCTGCAGCTTCTCCTCACGCCCCCATCGTATCCCCTTCCAGCACTTGGAGTCTGCTGAGAGCTTCCACCCCAATCTGCCCACACGCTGCTGTCCAGAGGCTGAACCACACCTACTGATGGTGTGGGCCCTCCTTCCAGGGCTCACCTCGCCCGCCCAGGGCCCTGAGTTTCCCTGTATCTCAGAAACTCTCCTCAGAGTGAATCCACATCTCTCGTCACCTGACCTCCTGGACAGTTTCCCCTCCTACCAGGTGCTGCGTCACC